AATTTACCATTTATTCCTACCCTTTGTTTCCTGTCTTTTAACCAGTTCGCAATCCAAGAAAGGACCTTCCCTCTTATCCCATGGCCATGTAATTTACACAAGAGCCTTTGGTGAGGGACCTTGTCAAAGGCTTTCTGAAAATCCAAGTATACTATATCTACTGGATCCCCCTTGTCCGCATGTTTGTTAACCCCTTCAAAGAACTCTAACAGATTAGTAAGACAGGATTTCCCTTTACATAAACCATGTTGACTTTTGTCCAACAAATTATGTTCTTCTACATGCTTCGCAATTTTATTCTTTACTATTGTTTCGACTAATTTGCCTGGTACTGAAGTTAGACTTACCGGTCTGTAATTGCCAGGATCGCCTCTAGAGCCCTTTTTAAATATTGGTGTCACGTTGGCTACCTTCCAGTCATTAGGTACGGAAGTCGATTTAAAGGATAGGTTACAAACCACAGATAATAGCTCAGCAATTTCCCATTTGAGTTCTTTTAGAACCCTTGGATGAATGCCATCCGGTCCCGGAGATTTGTTAACATTAAGTTTTTCTATTTGTTCCAAAATCTCCTCTAATGACACTTCAATCCGGGACAGTTCCTCAGATTCATCACCCACAAAGGACGGTGCAGATTCAGGAATCTCCCCAACGTCCTCAGCCGTGAAGACTGAAGCAAAGAAATCATTTAGTTTCTCCACAATGGCTTTATCGTCCTTGATTGCTCCTTTTATAGCTCGATCGTCTAGGGGACCCACAGGCTTTTTAGCAGGCTTCCTGCAGGGAAGCCCAGCTAGTCTGGGCTTGTGCTAGTGAGTTCTGTGCTATGCAATAAAATGGACACTTGCAACTACTCAGGCTCTTTGCATTTCCACTGATTTCTTCCTATACTGTGAAACTCCCCATGGCATAACAATAATCACACTCAGCAAGCCAGAACTGTTCCAGTGACACCTCACATGATCTATCTTGAACAAGCTTCATCTTGTGATTATAGGGAAGGTCACACGGGAAGTTTGGGGTTAAACCAAGAGGAGAGCCCCACTGTAAAGGTCTAGCTTGCCATTTCAACTTTTGCTCTCTGGAATGAGGCCTGTTTCCAAGATTTCATGCGCCATCCCCCAAAGTCAGGTTCAGATAACAAATCTGAGTCCTGTGGGATGGGGAAGGAAGGGGGAAGCTGCCGTCTAATTAGCCATCTGCCTCACTCCCAGCCTCCTCCAAGGCAGAGCAACCAATCAGAGCTCAATCTCCCTCTCCTCCCCTCTTGTGAGTAATGGGTTGGCTCCTCTGCCTCACCCCTCCCTCTTGCAGCTGGAGCAGGGGGAAGATACCTGGAGTTGCCCCTCCCCAGCTTGAAAGGGGAGAAAGGACCATGCTGCAGCCCCCCAGGGTTGGTAGGTGGGAAGAACTCCAGGAGAGGCAAAGGTGAGGCAGGGGATGACTGAATTGGGAGGGACTGGGTATGAGGTGATGGACCTGGGGGAGCAGAACTGGTGTGGCCTGCTTGGGGGATCTGTGGGGTAAGGTGGGGGCCAGACTGGTGGAGGGTAAGACCAGAACTGATGGGGAACTGTGGGGCAGAACTGATTGGAGGTTGGGGGAGAATTCATTGCTGGGCAGGGAGAGGCCAGATGTGTGGGTGAGAATTCCTGCAGCAAAAGAAGAGCCTCAAAGATGAAAAGGTAATAAATACTCTACATCTTGATGCAGAATATCATTAGCTAACGTTTCTTGATTAACGTTTAATCTTTTGTATATCTGGTTATCGTGTAATAAACCAATCCATTTTTGCATTTGGGGTCTTGTTGGGTGAATGTATGTGTAACCCACACACCTAGTGTGGTTCGCTGTCCCATGCAGTGGCACTTAGACCACAGCTAAGATCAAGAGACCTCTACAGCATGGGCTGGGAGCCAGCTGGCTTTTAGCTCAGAGGGGAGAGGATCCTGTACTGAGGTCCCAGGTTCAAATCCACCTGGTGGTGGTTACATATGTGTGGACTGAAAATACCTGTCTCAGTCAGTACAATGAATAATGATGTTCGTTAGTGTGTTGTAAAGACTGTACACAACTGGGGTGGTAAACAGCATTGACTGAGGTGATGAGGACAAGTTCATTTTGGAGACAAAATAATAAAGGTATCCAGGTGTGCTACGGCAGAGAGAAGGTTGGGAACCACCAGTCTAGATGTCCTGTCACTTCCTTTCCTTTGCCGCTTTCTTTCTGTGCAGGATTTCCCTTCTGCTCCTGTGGATTCCACAGAGGATCCCCAGAGAGAGAATGGGACAATGTCATGCCCCCCCCCCCCAATGCAGTCCAGGCCTCATTCCCTTGCAGTGGCTCAGGAGGCATCATGATGCGGCCAAGGTGGAAGTTAGAAATGCTAGTTTCCTGGTGACAATGGGAGTTAGTTCTAAAGCTGTAGAGAGAGAGTCCCAAAAGGGCAAATGGTTGGCTGGCTGCCCTGTGGAGTCCTAGGAGCTCTGTCCCGTCAGGGTGGGAAACAGGAAGTTGAACCTTAATAAAGCACTTCTGCTTCCCCACCAATAACTTCCCCAATGCAAATATTTGTAGTGAAAAATAGGATAACGTGAGCACGGCACATTTTGTCTTTTGTAGTGTAACTGAAATCAATATATTTAAAAATGTAGAAAAAACATCCAAAATATTTATAATACATTTCGATTGGTATTCTGTGATTGAATACTGAGAGTCTGATTATGTATTAACATTTGACGGCCCCAGTTTTTTTCATACTATGTTATAATAAAACTTTGAAAAGTCCTTTTCAAGAGGAAAATTGAAATGCTTTATGACAAAAATGTCAAAACAGGGATGTTTTGGTGGTGGTATTCTGAAACAAAATTTCAGGAAAATCGTGACCATTTCATGAAGTGTTTTGATTTTTGGCAGAACTGCATTTCCTGACTTGTTCAACCTTTTTCAAACCATCTCTAGTGGAAAGACGTCCATCATGACAGATGTGAGGTTTTAGGATGGAGATGGGCTTGAATTTGGGGGCCCACTGGTTATTTTCACTCTCTGGTTCCAATATTCAAGCACTTGGTACTAATCCTTTGGTTTTCCTCCCTTGTAATGTTGGATGCTTAATAACCCCTGGCAGCATTTCTTGGGTTGTTACAGGAGCCTTTGTAAAACTTTGTTAGGTTTCATAAACTCTACCGATAGGCTGGGATATATTCTGCATCCCTATCAATTGGGCACACTTCCAGATAAAGGTTTATTCTGGGTAAAACTGAATTTCACCTCCTGCAAAACTCCAGTCTCCCAAACACACCACTTCCCTAAACTCTGCACACACACATTTATTCATCACACTTTGATGCAAACCTTCAGCTGCAAGCACACCCTTGTTCCAATGTCACATCCTGCTACCTTCTGATGCTGCAGGTTGATGCTGGCACTGATTTTTATTTGCTATGTGTGTTTCTTTTTTCAGTGGTTTTATGCCCCTTGCCCTGCCTTCCACCTGGGCACATGGCTCCCTCTTTGGCAGAGAGACCCGAATATTTGACAGTCACTTTCAGCTCTTGCCTGCTGCAGTGGAGTTCAGCATCTATGGTCCCCATTCTGCTCATGGTTCTTCTACTCCTTCTCTGCATCCACTTTAAAAGGTAGGTGCTCTCCCTCCTAAGTCTCCTGCTCAAGCTCGTGCTCTGTATTCCTGACAAGTGTTGCTGGTAGAAGGGGCTGGGCTCTCAGGCCTGTCAACAATGGGCCAAATTCAGTCTAAGGGCTTGTCGATAGTAGGAAAACTGGCCGCAGTGTAACTGCACCAAGGAGCTCTGGCGCTGTGAATCCCAGGGGCAGCTGCCCTGAAGCTAGACTACTTGAGATGGGAAATAAGGTGGAAATTAATTACCCCTCTCTGGTAAACATCCCTGGAACAGCTGTGGTGAATTCTCCATCACTTTCGAATCAAGACTGGCTGCTTTCTGGAAGGCAAGCTCCAGTTCAAATAGGAATTAATTCAAGGCAGTTCAATCGCCCATGCCTCATGGGAGGTCAGATTAGAGGATCACAGCTGTTCCTAATCTATTTGTAAAGCTGGCAGGGTGGTTTTCAGGTGGGATTGAACCTGTGACCATAGGGGCTTTAAGCCATGTACCTCTAGCACATGAGCTAAAAGCCAACTGGCTCTGGAGCTTACCTGAGGCTGGAGAGCAGACTTCCCTCTCCCTTGTTAGTGGCCTCAATGCCTCTGGGTCACATATGAATATGTGAAAATGTGATTTACACCAGCATCTGGTCTATATGCAGGTCTGCACCAATTTCGCTAAAGGTGATTTCACTAAAGGTGTGCTTTGAAGTAGATTTAGTTTAAGTGGAGCTAACTCCTGTGTGGATGCTCTTAAGTCAGTTTAAACCTGGTCCATAGCTTAGCTTGGTTACTCTTTTCAAGATATATTGGTTTAAATGTGTCTGTGATAGGGATGTTTAATTGAATAATCATGTAACTATACCAAATCTTAGATTCACCCTGACTTGCCATGCAGACAAACCCCTTCCTTGTGGGTCTGTCCCATTGGAAAGATGGCGCATTGCCCCTGAATCCCCTTTCTCCTTTGTGGAGGTCGTGCAGCGAGTGCAGTGAAAGCCCCGGAGTGCAGCCTGGCTTATTACTCCTTGGAAGCGTTACTGTGCAGCAAGATGGGGGATTGGAGAGTCACACCCTGTTTTACCATACGGGATCAGCAAAATGTAAATATGTGCCTGAACTTAAGCCTGTGGCTAGTCCCATTCCTGCGGTTAATATTCAAGTGCTTTGCTGGATTGGGGTCTCATCCTGAGCCCACTGGAATCAGTAAAAATAGTCACAGGATAGGTCTATGGTTCACTATTGCACCCACGGCTGGTGCAGGTCGGTTGACTTGGGCTCACAGAGCTATACAGTTGCAGTGTAAACATTCAGGCTGTGGGCGCTGAGACCTAGCCTGGGACCCATTGCACTCATTACAAGGTCTCCCTCAGCCAGTCATGGTCCAACGTGCCCATCTCCCCATAGAAACTTGTTCCCATAACATAAGAACCAGGGCTTACCAAATGAAATTAATAGATAGTCAGTTTCAAACAAACAAAAGGAAGTTTTTCTTCACACAATGCATAGTCAACCTGTGGAACTCCTTGCCAGAGGATGTGGTGAAGACCAGGACTTTAATAGGATTCAAAAGAGAGTTTGATAAATTCTTGGAGGTTAGGTCCTTCAATGGCTATTAGCCAGGATGGGTAGGAATGGTGTCCCTAGTCTCCGTTTGTCAGAGGCTGGAAATGGGTGACAGGAGAAGGATCGCTTGATGATTCCCTGTTCAATTCACTCCCTCTTGGGCATCTGGCATTGGCCACTGTCAGCAGACAGGATACTGGGCTGGATGGATCTTTGGTCTGACCCAGTGTGGCCGTTCTTATGTTAAACACAGAGGCAAGGGCTTTACAATGAGGCCGATACAGAAAGTCACGTTAGAAATTACTGATGGGGAAAGCTGTCCATCTTAGCCCATCCTCCACCCAGGGGCAGGGCCATTTCTACTCTCTCTTCTAGAGTAAAATGTCTCAAATGATTGAGTTCCACCCTTTGCCTTCATCATCTTGCCCTTGGGAACAGACCGAACTTCCCTTTAGAGGAGTTTGCCCCTGATACTCTAAGTTACCTATCGAAACAATTCCTCTATCCATTCTTCCTGGGGGCAGCAAATATCCCCCGGACTCCTTCTGATCTATCCATTTGATGGTTTTGGGGCACAGAGAGGTGCTGAACATCACAGAAACATCCCACACAACCTCCGGATGAACAAAATGAATCTTTGGTGTCTCTTTTGTCTTTCCAGGAAAAATCGACATTTTTCCACCAGGCCCATCAAGAGAGACGCCAACGCCTCCAGGCTCATCAGAGTGGTAAGTTCTGGAGGCCTGCAGGAAAGGTGCAGAGATGATCCCTTTCCTTTTGCTTTCCTCTTCATCTTCTTGTACCAGGGGCTGGCTCTCTGGGGCTTCAGCTTTGCTCATGCTTGGAGAGAGACAGGACAGGAGGGGCCAGTGCCGGGGTGAACGGGAGCTTGAGCTCTCCCAACGGGAGCTTGTGCTAATGTGCTGGGGATGGCTCTTTGAGGGCAGGACCGTGAAGGAGGGAAGAGAAAGTGCCCAGAGATGGTGAGGAAGCCCATTCCAAGCATTCAGACCCAGGAGTGGAAATTAGGAACGCTTGGCTCCTTTGATATTGGGCAAGTCCCCTCCCCTTTTTGTGCCTCAGTTTCCCAGTTCTATGGGGCTCATTGCATCACTGCCCCCTATTAGTCTCTTGGCGTGTATTCCCCCAGTGTTGAATCTCCTGCCCTTACTTATCCTGCAGTGCAGTTTTGCAGTTCCAGCAGAGAACAATCCCCACCCTCAGCACCTGCGCCAGCCACTTACTACTGTGCAGGTCTGACCGGACACCTGTGTATCTTCCCTCCAGGAGTGTCAGAGGGCAGCTAATCCTCTGACGTGGGCAGGGGTCCAGCTGACCTCTGGCACCTCCAGAAGGGTTCAGCTGGGAGTAGCTACTCAGGGAGTGAATCAGGCAGGCAGGGAGGCTGAAAGGCTAAGGAGCTCAGCGAGAAAGGGAACTTCGGAGCAGAAAGGTGGCTGCCAGACAGAGGGACTGCAGGGGTGAGAAGCTGCCAGATAAAGCCACTGCTCCAAAGAGGGAGAAGCCAGGCTAGTAGCTAGGGAAGGCTTCCCAGAGCTCCGGGAACAGCAAGGGACTGGGACAGACGGGTTCTGTCACAAACACGGGGTCTGAGCTGGAGTGTAGCGGCATGGGCAGCCCTGGGTGCTCCCAACCCTGCAGGGGTCTTTTAGAGAAGAAGCTCCTAAGCCGTGAGCCCTGGGCTGATTAGCCCCTACGAGAGCCCTACTCAGTCCCCAGGGGCCTGTGGGAGGTGACGGTGACCAGTGTCCTTTATGAGCAAACAGAAGAGAGCATCAGAGAAAACAACTTCAAAGCCACAAGCAGCCTTTGTGCCTTGGCTCATCACACGTGGCCCATAAGCTCAGGTGCGATGGGCTTGCCTCTGGAGTCACAGGCAAAGAACAGGCCCAATGGACGTCCCTTTAGGAAGTCAAGGGGCTCTTGAGGCTCACCCTCATCCCAGTGTGCTTTCAAGAAAGCACACACGCCCCAGACTTTGCTCCCCTTCTTCCCCCCAAGCCCCGCCCCATCTGCTCACTGGCCTTTGTTACGAGACCATGGTGTGAGTTGGCTGTTTGCCAGCGACAGGTGTTTCCCAGCCAGCCAGGCCACAAGCGCCCCCCCACCCACCCACGACTGTCGCTACATTGTTTGGCAGTTACACTAATTTAGCCGTAACAGCTCGTGGTCCCAGGCTACACAAGCCCTGTGCATGTACCCTGAGAATGACTAACAGCCGTCTCGTAGGTGCATATCGCAAAAGCACATTCCTCGCACGGCTTTGAGATCGCCCCCCTCCAGTCAAGACCTCCCAGCGCCCCCCCACCCACCCACGACTGTCGCTACATTGTTTGGCAGTTACACTAATTTAGCCGTAACAGCTCGTGGTCCCAGGCTACACAAGCCCTGTGCATGTACCCTGAGAATGACTAACAGCCGTCTCGTAGGTGCATATCGCAAAAGCACATTCCTCGCACGGCTTTGAGATCGCCCCCCTCCAGTCAAGACCTCCCACTTAATTCACACCCCACAGGCCGAATCTGTCATTTCCCCACAAGCTGTACCTTTCGGCCTATCCTCTGATGGGGAATTGGTTAGCCATGCTAACCATCACCCAGTGATCCTAGGTGGGATATGCAGGACAATGTAGCACTTTAAAGACTAACAAGATGGTTTATTAGATGATGAGCTTTCGTGGGCCAGACCCACTTCCTCAGATCAAATAGTGGAAGAAAGTAGTCACAACTAGGTGGGATATGTAAGCCCATGTGGCAGAAATCTGCAATGCTACTTCTGTCCTAGCTGTGCTGTGTACGAAATACCAGACTCGGTGCCTTGTGCTATGACAGCCCTCTAGTGTCGGAAAATGGAAGAGTTTCTGCTTTTTACAGTAGAGCCTCAATTACAAACACCAGAGTTACAAAGGGTACGTCTACACTACAACGGAAGACCGAAGATGCTGCTGTCGAACTTCGTGGGTTTGAATTAGTGGTCTAGTTAAGGCAGCTAATTGGAAGTGAGAGGGGCGCTCCGGTTGATGCCGGTAATATGCTTCCACGAGGAGTAAGGGAAGTCGAAGGAAGAGTGCCTTTCCTTCGACTTCTTGCTGTGTAGACAGCACCAAAAGCCGAGTTAAACTACTTTAACTTCAGCTACTCAATTAATGAAGCTGAAGTTACATAGCTTAATTTGACTTTGTCCCACAGTGTAGACGTCCCCAAACTAACCAGCCCAGCCTGCACCTGGAATTGTAAATACAGGCAGTCCCTGGGTTACGTACAAGATAGGGACTGTAGGTTTGTTCTTAAGTTGAATCTGTATGTAAGTCGGAACTGGCGTCCAGATTCAGCCGCTGCTGAAACTGATCAGTTTCAACAGCGGCTGAAT